TAAAAAATGCTGACCGTGTAATAGCTGGGTATTCATGGTGGGTGGAGAACATGAAAGGTTACAATATGGATCTGTGCCTACGCGTTTCTTTTCAACTTGAGCAGCATCCTCCTGCTTCTGCTAACTCGGCAATCATACAGCTGACAGATTTCTGGGTTTTCTAAATAATGCATGGGATTTTCTTTTAACATGTCAGTGCAAAAGTATCAATTCTGCCCCTGTGTCGTTTGTGATGCTGATTTTCCTTGACAGCATTCCATTAAACCAATGAGTTTTTTCCCTCCTGATGGTTCCTTAAATATTCCTCCGAGTGATGTATTTGTGGTTTTTTAAACAGATTGTGAAGGATGTTTGCATTTGTGAGAAAACTGCATGGCAGGTACTGAAGGGAAAGAAGGATAAAAAGATAACACTTTTTTTTTTTTTCTATGAGAGAGCTTTTTCTCTGATCCTCATATGCCAAAAGCTCGGGTGTTTTGCCTTTCTTTTCCGCCTAACTTAGCTCCTTGTCTGGAAATTAAGCAACAAGCCTCTACATACAGAATAACATTTTGACTTCCTAAGGAAATACCACTGAAACACTTAGTACTGTTTGATATCTCTCCTGGGAAAGCAAAACACATTTCTTAAATCATGCATGCTAGCTCCCAAAGGCACCAGAAGGAAATACCTGCCTTACTCCGTGCTCTGAGGCTCTGCACACACAGCTCCTGTCACCACTGCCACGCTCTGGTCTGATCCCTCCTGGCTCAGGCGGCTTCAGGGACATCCAGGTGGCATCACCCAGCCCCTGTTTTACCATCCATCCATCCATCCATCCCATCTCACACTTCACACATCACCTGCTGCCACGCCATTAAAAAGAAAAGCTCAGATTTCAGCTAAGTTCCAGATCGCCCTAAGCAATGACATGGTAATTTACAAAACACTTCACCTGGTCTCTGCTCTGCATGATGAAGGAGCTCATCTTCCTCAACACCTCTGTGCAACCAGAGAGCTTTGGCTGCATTTATTTTATTTCTACAGAAATAACAGATTGTGTGGCTGGGCTGGAGTGAGCAGGACTCAGCTCCAGCTGCTCCCTCCAGCCCTTCCTCACTTCCCAGGAGGAGCAGAAAGGCCACAACCACTCCTGGCAACCCTCAGGTGCCACTGTGTCCTCTCCAAGGCTCACCTGGAGGAGCCAAAAAGGAGGAGCAGACCACAAAAGTCACAGGGAATTTGAGATTCCAGAGGGATGGATTCTCCCATGCCCAGGCTCCTTTGTCCTGGTTCTCCAAGTTCAGCCCAGCTCCCACCCCAAGATGGAGAGGGACATCAAACCCCAAGGAGGAGCCAGCCCAGGTCAGCTGGACTGTGGGGCCACAGAGGCTCCAGGGCCAGATTAAAGAGGAGATTTCCAACTGCCAGAGAAGTTTTGCTTCAACACTTCATATGATGAGTAGGAAGGTGCAAAAAAATCTCTTTCTCTTCTGCAGAGAGAGTGGAAGGAGGACATCAATGTTCAAATGTATAACAGCATTCTTCACAGCACTGTGAACTAAAGCATTGCTTCAATTAAAAAAAAAATCTTCAAATTGAACTTTTTGGGGAATTTTTTTCCCCTATATTTTCAGCATTAATTCTTGCAGCATTTATTTTTAATAAGTTATTTAGAATATCCCAGTACCAAACTCCACCAGTACTGAGATTATGGTGACATCATGGAAAGGAGGTTGGTAGGACCTGATGGCAAAAAACCACCAGCTGGATTAGAAACAGGAAAAGAAATGGCACATTTATCCTCCTGCCCCTCAGACACATTTGTAAGGTTCAATTCCACACCTGCAATTTGCTAGACAAAAATATAATAATATCTGAGGAATTAGTCAATGTTAAATTGAGTTGAGAATCAGATTTTAAACTGACAGGACAAATTCTGGCTTCAGACAGAGAATTCTTAAAAGTTTCCATCATCATAATGATGCACAGAGGAAGAGGCTGTAAAAGTGACAGGCCAGGCATCAGTAAGAAGCAAACCCAAAATTATTTCATACTTCACCAGATACAGATGGGGATTGAGATGAATATGCCAAGACATCCTCAACACTTTTTTTTTATTATACTAATGGCCTGTATATAACGACACACTTGCAAAATAATCTGGCAATAAAGCTTTAGGACTTAATATTGCTCAATTACATATTTAATTTAAAATAAACAACAGCAAAAAGAGAGTATTCCACTCATCTATCAGACTGTGGGATAAGCAGGAAGGGACATATCCAAAAGTGAAATATTTAGTGGCATTGTAGGAAGTCAATGTGTAACACTGAGGTAAAAACCCAACTAAATTGTTTTAAATAAAACTGCAACTCTTTGAGTCTTTGTTACTGTAAAAAGAAAAAAAAAATCAAAGGAAGCAAAAGGTCCTCGGCTCTGTACAAGCATATTTCTGATTTGACAGCTACAATTATAATCATTCAGACATCTATTTCCCACAAACTCTCCACAGCCATAACCTTTAGTGATTAATTATAAAGTTCCAGGAGCAATAGTACACAGACTAATTTCCTAAAACAATAAAACACAGAATTTCTCATTTGGAGCTAAATGAAACACGAACAGGTTGTTATTCATGCTGAAATCTAGATGCAGAGTCATGTTGCAGCCATTACAGAAGCTATTAAACACAACCTCAAATCAAAGAAACTGTAGGTCTCTCTCCTAAAATAAAATGTTTTTCTCACTTATGAGGCTTCTGACTCCTTTGCTCTGATCCTTTCTACCTCTTCTTAGTAAAAAAAAAATCAAAATTCAATTTTCTTCCTCATTTCACATCCCCATTTTATTTTTAATAGTAATTTAACCTGTAAGTCTACAGCAAAGCAAACAGTTGGTGAAGGTTTCATGCACATGGAATTATCCTGGGGTTCCCTTCACAGCAGGTCAGAGTTACAACCTGAGTATTGACTTCTAAACAAAACTCCCACTCTCTTCATGCCCCACCAAGGAGTTTTCTGTGGTGTTTGATAATTGTTCAGTTATTTTATTTGGTGAAATGTACCTTTTCCACTCTTTCCATGGTTGTTTTCCATTTTGACACATTCTGCTCAAGGTAAATCTTTGTAATGTGACCCAGCAATAAAGGAGGAATCCACTCATTACCAAAGTTATCCCAAAACTCAAGTTGCACATACTGGAAAGAGGGGAAATTGTGATTTTTAATAGGATTAATACTAGTTCTTTTTGATCAGGACCTATTGCTCTGCAAACAACACCAGCACTGAAGCCAGAAAATTTGCACTTGGCAATTTTACTGCACCAGGCAATGAAAAGGGGAGAGAATTGAGAAAAGATCTGTATGGAACTGCCACCACACTCTTATTCTTGGGTCCCACTGTAACTAAAGTCAGTGGGAACTTGTCCAAATATTTAAATTGGCACTGAGCTGGTTGTAGACCTCATTGCATTGCTAAACCACAGAGAACTCCCTTGTGAATGCACACCCTCGATGCACTGTCCAAAGGCTGGTGTGAGTCCCTAAAAACTCCTTGCTCCACCTAAAATAATCACATTAATGAAGATTCTCCCCACATGAGGTGCACAAATTTTGCCCTACCAGGTAACACACAAAACTATGAGCATTCAAGTTAAACTTTTGCACAGCAGCTTTTAAAACCCCCACACCAACCCTGCATCTTTTCTGTATGAAGTTTCCTTACTTTTCTGTAGTAATTCCATGTTCAGCCCTTTTTCTTAGCATTCAGTGAACTTTCAGAATTCATTCTGAAAGTTGAACTTTATGCAAACTATTTTAGTTACCACTAAATAGGATTTTTCAGTGCTTTTTTTCTGAATTCAATGTGCCCTAATTTATTAGGGCCTGAGAGGTGAATAGGAATACACATCCTACAGAACAGGAAGCTGGGGAAAGGTTTAATGCACCAGTTAGAAGCCAGATTTCTTCAAATACAGATGAGTACACAAAATTAGCAAAAGGCAATACCACTTTTGGAAAGACTGCTTTGTGCATAATTTGTCATGAATTCAAAGTTATTCCTTTAGAAAATGAGTCTAAGACCTCCCAGCTGCTGCTTTATTGGTCTAATAAATTACCATTTTGCTGGGAGGATGCACATGCAGCACAGCAGGGAATGCCAAAGGGAGAGGGGGATGCCACGGGCATCACTCTCAGCCTCTCTTCTTGAATTGGCAATGGAAACCAACAAAATTCTGCTCCCCAAGGGGCAGAGGTGCAGGATGCAGGGAAACTGCCCTGGCAGGTACCAGAGACAAAATGGATCTGTCTGTTCCAGGTTCCCTACACTGACCAAGCAAAAATCTCCCCTATTCACCTGGAAAGACATCAGAATAAACAAAGATTTCCTCTTCAAAGGAGCTGTTTTGACTTCACCTTTGAACCCTGGTTTTGGGGAAGCTTAGCTCAAGCCTGTATTAATGTTTATGTAGCTTGGGGGGCTCAGTTCAAACCTGCATTAATGTTTATGCAGCACAGGAACGTGTTCCATGCCAGGGCCTCCTGGCCAAGGTGACTCCAGCCCCAGCCAAGGACAAACACAAACCCCTGCACAGCTGGGCCCTGCAAATACCCACCCAAGGAAAGAACCAAGTGCAGAAAAGCCATAAACTGGTGATGGAGCATTCCCTGCCTTGCCTTTCTCCAAGTGGGACTCAGGAGTTCCCACAGCCTGGCCTTTTGGAAACCTTCCATCATCCACTGGAAAACTCCAGACAGTGTCAATGCCACTGGAGAAATCTTTTGTTACTCCAGATGTATTTAGGGGGCCCTTTAAAAGCTCTGTGTCCAGCCCTAATGATGATGATGATCCTTCACCAGTATTTTTCAAACAATTACTGAAGGGAGCTCTTAAAACTGGAGCAATATGGAGTGAGAGCACAAATTCTGATTTAGCACTGCAGGGCAAAGCTTACAAAACACAAGAGCCCAAGAATTTGAGACCCAGGTGCTGAGAGCTCCAGGGCACAGCATCCCTTACCTGCATTAGAATTGAGCTCTTCGTTTTCTGACTCGGTTCCATTTTGACTCCCACTTCCATGCAGGCTGTTCATGGCCATAAGTTTCATTTTCTGCAGCTTCATCGCCTCTGCCATGGCAGCTGCTGTCAGACCTGGAAAATTTAAATAAACAATATGCAGTGTCAGATTGTACAATGTGGCACTGCAGGTATGAACAGAACATTCCTTTTCAGTAAGAAAAAGATCCCATAAATCCAAAGGCCATTCTTAGTCCAGTACAGTAATGCTATCCCTGAACACCATCTTTGTTTTAGAGTCAAGCCACTTCAGTACACCATTCTAAGAATTTTTTAAAAAATCTTTCATGTTTATTATTCTTTTTAACATGTAGAGCACAAAGAAATATTTATTTAATGGTATCCCTTTTGATTATACTTTTAAATATAATTTCCCGTCACTTTGATCACCTTGTCACTTTGATCACTTTCTGCTTGACTTATTTAGCTGCAACAAAATTTCCACATGCAGAGTAAGATACAGTATTCCTTAATTTCAACAGTTCAAAGCAAATTAACATGTAATAGTACAGCATTCATTGTTCTATTAAGCACCCAAATATTTTTTGTCCTTTTGGGAATTTGCTGGTTTGAATTAATATTATTGTAACATGAAAATATTACATTGGAAATGTGTAGAAAAACACAACTTGGATAATTACAGAATCAATCCCACTTTTAAGAGACCATTAAGACCAGCAGAAATTCCCAGAATTAAGGGGGGTATTGGTAGAAGATTTTCAAATTACTAAACCCCAATTAATTTCCAGTAGTAAAAGAGAATAAGCAAAGTAATATCAGGCTTACTATAATTATAAATCTTTTATTATTGTTGTTATTTAGATTCCCAGCATCTTTTTTTTCGTAAGTGTGACGTTTTTAAGTTTTATCATTTTGGCTTGGTTGCTAAATAAAGAATCAGATTTTCTTACAGACAGTAGCAAATTACTTTTATTCTGGGCAAGATGTGATTGAAAATAATCTGAGGTTTTTGCAGGAAAATCCAAGAGATACAGGCACAAAACCAAAAATATCTCTACATGTACAACTGTTTGTTCACTCAGTTATGGATTAAATGGGTTTATTTTTCCATTCAGCACAGCAAGACTTGCTTTTATTATTTGCTACCTAGCTCCACAAAATCACTGATTGCATTTATTAAACCCATTATTTTTTTGGTGGTGGTGCCTGTTCTACCAAACCACTAAAATATCATAGATGTAACCAGAATTAAATAATCTGCTTCTGGAAAACATTGCTTACTGAGAGATTTAGATGCTGATAAAAGCGAACTAATAATTTCCACACCCTTTCCATAAATTACAACACTCTTGTAAATTCTGCTAAGAATCTGACATTGAGATTAGCTCTGCTGCTCCTCCAGAGGGCTGCACAAAGTTCTGATTATTTCAGAGAGATTTAACAAAGGAAGCAATCCTTTTATCACACATGGACACAGCAATTTGGGCAAATTCAGCAAAGATATTCTGATCATCACCAATATTTTTGTCTTTTAGGTTATTTAATGCAGCTCTCACTTCACACAAAAAGCCACTACACTGTAATTTTTTTTCAACACCCTTTAAAGTTCTTTCACAAATGCTACAGGTTTTTCATCAAGCAGATATAAAATCCTGATGTTTAAACTCCTGGTTTTATCTCAGACACTCTCACTTAATCCATCACAGAATACATCTTCAATGATAAAACTCTCCACACACTTTCTGGAGAAGATGAAATAGTCTGCAAACTTTTTCACTTTTTTTTTTTTTCTTAGGGAAAGGAAGTGGGATTGCTCTTTGAGTGAGTTTTACATTATTTTCAGGAAGTAAAAAAAAAAAAAAAAAATAAGCATCATCACCGTTCTGAGGAATTGACTGTTTTCAAGATTTCCAGGCACCTTTTCACTTTCTATTTTAATCCATTTGCAAAGAATTCACATACATTTTAATGCTTACAAAAATATATTGTTGGAACACAGAGTTTTTTCTTCCAACATTTTATCATTTGTATGTACCCAGAGATGCACTGATAAATCAATATTCCAGTGTTTTCACCAGGCTCAGTGTTTATACAGGTTCTTGATATAGACTGGAAGACATGAAATTTATTTAAACATGTAAAACAGTAAAGAAACTATTTATAAAGAGGTAAATAGAGAATGGAAGAAAATTCAGATCTTTAGCAAAATGTTCAGAGAAACGACAAGAGAAAAAAAATTATCCAGGGCACTGTATTAAAAAACAGAAAAAAAAAAAAAAAAGAAAAGAAAAATTCCCCAAAACCTTGCACTGAAGAGTTGCACCAGAAGTGTAATGAAGGCAGCAAGGTACCATGGAACAAACAGAAAATAACAAACCCAGTCCCCAAATCACCACGATGAGGCCTGCAGAAATGAAAGGTAATTATTGTCAGGCATTTCTGAGCTCCCTAAGCAGCCACAGCTGCCATAAGGACACCAGCCAAGAAACAGTGATGGATCAGAAAACTCTGCTGTGCCATCTGCCACACCACAGTCACTGCACCTCAGCTGCTGAAGTTTCAGGGGTAAAACTCAGCCCCAGTGCAGAGAGCACCAAGGTCCTGCACAGCCAGGCACAGGCCTGAAAACACAGCTGAGATTGTCCCCAAACTCTGTCTGCAAAGTCTTCATTCCCTCCCTCGCTCCCCAGTCTATATAACTTCTTACTTCAAGTCACAGAATCTGTCTGAGGCACTTTAAAAACAATGTAGTAATTCTTCAGCATCTCTGAGAGATAACAGAATTCAGGCTGAAACAAATTGGTTCAGCAGTAAGGGGGTGCTGCTGACTGAAATGATTCAGAAAACAGAATAGGCAGCACTGGCACAATCTTCAATTAGGCACCGTGGATAATGTTACTGGAGCTATTATTTAATTTAACTACTAATAAAACTCTTTTCTATAATTGACTCAGCTTGAGCTAGCTCTGGAGAAGAGGGCTGTTCTTTGACTGACTTATCTAAGGATCTACAAAGAACTAAAGAATCATTTCCATCCTCTTGGATGAATCATTATCAGCAGCAGAATCTCACTTCGAGCACCTCACTTTGAAAAATGTCCTGGGAACTGCTGTAACATTTACATCTACCCCTCTGGTTTCCCCTAAACAAACCCAAAAAGGATTGCTAGGAAAGCCCACGTGCTGGATCACACACTTCAAAGCTTCTGGGTTTTCCTGCCCATTTACACTTGAAATTCTCCTTCCTTCAGTTCAATTCTGCCGGCTGTGATCAGTCAGGAACAGCCAGGAAATAAACTGTGGGCATTTGCTGTCAAACAGGGACATCCCTCAGAGCCCTCAGTGCACAGGGACAGACAGACAGACAGGGCACTGGGAGCTGTGCTCTGTGCGCAGGGACAGACAGACAGACAGACAGGGCATTGGGAGCTGTGCTCTGTGCGCAGGGACAGACAGACAGACAGGGCACTGGGAGCTGTGCTCTGTGCACACGGACAGACAGACAGACAGGGCACTGGGAGCTGTGCTCTGTGCACACGGACAGACAGACAGACAGGGCACAGGGAGCTGTGCTCTGTGCACACGGACAGACAGACAGGGCATTGGTGCTGTGCTCTGTGCACAGGGACAGACAGACAGACAGGGCACTGGGAGCTGTGCTGTGCACACAGGGACAGACAGACAGGGCATTGGGAGCTGTGCTCTGTGCACAGGGACAGACAGACAGACA